CATCGGCGCAATCTTCTAGCTTCTTGTCCTTTGTTTGGTGACCTGAGCGCCACTTCCGCATTCCCGCCTGGCCGCATTGCAGCGCGGTTTCTCCGTCCAAGTTTTTTAAGGTCGGTTTATCCTCATTCCTCAGTGGTTTCTCCTCCTGTTCCCTCCATAAGTGGTTTTTATAAACACCGTGGATCTAACCCTGCTAATTTACGTTCACTAACTCCAGCTGTTTCTGTAGTTTCTGATTCCTCCACCTCACTCAGCATGGCTCTATTGAACACCCGCTCTGTTAACAATAAGTCCTTCCTGCTCAATGATCTAATTCTCTCTAAAACCTGGATTTTCTGTTTCTGACTGAAGTTTGTCAGCAAACATCTGATTATTCTGGTCTGATTGAACTCTGCCCGAGTGGTTATTCTTTTCTTAGCCAGCCCCAGGGTTCTGGTCGTGGTGGAGGCCTAGCTGTTGTTTTCAGAGACCATCTTCCATGTAGCTCTACAACCTCTGGTCGCTTTGCTTCCTTTGAACTGCAGCTGATTTAAGTTGGGCGTAAGGACCCGTTCTACTGTGCTGTGGTCTATCGTCCACCTGGTCCAAACAGTTCTTTCCTTCAGGAGTTTAGTGACTTTCTATCCTCCACTGTGAAGCTGTCCTGACTGGTGATTGTTGGTGACTTTAACATCCACGTTGATGATCCCTCTGATCACTTTGCCATGAATTTCTCCAGCCTTATGGACTCCTTCAGCTTTACCCAGCATGTTTCTGGCCCCACACACACCAGGGGGCACACTCTAGACCTTGTTTTTACCCTGGGTCCAAATGCTGACAGTGTTTGTCCTGAGGATGTTTATATTTCTGATCACCATTGCATTTTCTTTAACTTGTCAGTTTCTGCGTCCCCACCTCCTGCTCACCGTATGGTTAGTTCTCGTTTTCTTAATGAGAGCACAGCTAGCAATTTTTCTGCTGCTTTTGATCCACCCTGTTCTTCTGATAACGACCCAGATTCCTTAACTTCTCAGTTTAACGAGCACTGCCTCTCCATTCTGAACAACATCTGTCCTGTCAGAACCAGATCAGTTCCTGCAGTGAACCCTACTCCCTGGTTTAATGACAGCCTTCGCAGCCTGAAGCATCAATGCAGAAAAATTGAGCGTTTGTGGAAGAAAACCCATCTCCACGTCCATCTGCTGCACCTAAAGGATCTTCTGACATCCTTTAACTCTGCAGTCAGAGACGCCAGGGTTTCCTATTTCTCCAACCGGGTCCCCCAGAGCAGAGGGAACCCCAAGGTGCTGTTTAACACCATCAACAGCATCGTCTCTCCTGCCTCTCCTACAGCCTCCATCCACTCTGTTACAGACTGTGAGAACTTTCTGTCTTTCTTTGTGGACAAAGTCAGTAAGGTTAGATCTAGCATCTCTCCTTCAGCCTTATCGCCGCCTCTCCCGACTCCAACCAGGCCCATCATCCTAGATAGCTTTGCTCCTGTTTCTTTGCCTGAGTTAACCAAACTAGTTAACTCTATGAAAACCTCTGCATGCCCCCTCCACATCTTACCCTCATCTTTGTTTAAAAGGGCTTTTCAGTCCATCGGTCCCAGCGTGCTCTCTATAATTAATGCTTCTCTGGTTTCTGGTCAGGTCCCTGCTTACTTTAAGAACACTGTAATCCACCCACTTCTTAAAAAACAAGTCTCGACCCCTCTCTCCATAGCAGCTTCAGACCCATCTCAGTGGCGTGTCCAGATCTTTTAAAATGGGGTGGCCCAGGTGAGGCACAACTTTGTGCATGGGTGGCACCAATGGTTACGCTTTTATTGATTTACCCCCAAGTCTTTTGTGGACAAGGAAAAGCCTACTTAAAGGTAAATTAGTGTGGCAAAACCTGGGGTGGCCAGTCAGATTCCAAGGGTGGCATGTGCCACCCCAGGCCACTCCCTGGGCACGCCCCTGACCCATCTCTAAACTTCCGTTCATCTCCAAGATCTTGGAAAAGGTTGTGGCTAAACAACTCACAGCTGCTCTTGATGAACATAACATCTATGATAGCTTCCAGTCAGGTTTTCGTAGAGCTCATTCTACTGAAACAGCTCTTCTTAGGGTCTCTAATGACCTTCTGACTCACAGTGATGCAGGGGACTGTTCTGTTCTGGTCCTGCTGGACCTGACTGCAGCCTTTGACACTGTTGACCATCACCTGCTACTGGAGAGGCTGAGAGACTGGGTAGGCCTATCAGGATCTGCTCTGGAGTGGTTCTCCTCTTATCTTTCTGAGCGCTCCTTTTCTGTGGCTGTCTCCAAGTTTAGGTCCTCCACCACCTCCCTTACCCATGGTGTCCCACAAGGTTCTGTGCTGAGGCCTCTGCTCTTCCTCCTCTATCTGCTTCCTCTTCAGCACATCCTGAGCTCCTTCAAAGGAATCTCCTACCATCTTTATGCAGATGACATCCAACTGTACATCTCCTTTAAGCCACATGAGATGTCTAAGCTGCAGCTGTTACACACCTGCTTAGACTCTATCAAAACCTGGATGGCTGGGAGCTTTCTTCAGCTGAATGAAGATAAGACTGAGATCCTCATCTGTGCCCCAGACAAGCTGGTTCCCAAAGTCAGAGACTCTCTTGGTCAGCTTGCTTCCCACACCAAACCCTCTGTCAGGAATCTTGGCATGACCTTTGACCCAGCTCTCACCCTGGATTCTCATGTCAGTTCTCTTGTTCGCTCTTCCTTCTTCCATCTCAGGAACGTTGCTAAGCTGAGTCCCATTTTGTCCCGCTCTGAACTTGAGACAGTTCTCCACACCTTCATCTCCTCACGCTTAGACTACTGTAACTCTCTTTTCACGTGTCTGAGCAGAACCTCCCTGAACCATCTACAGGTGGTTCAGAAGGCCTGTGCTCGGCTTCTGACCAAGTCCTCCAAATACACCCACATCACCCCGCTTCTCCTCCAGCTTCACTGGCTGACAGTCAACTTCAGGGTTCATTTCAAGATCCTGGTTCTGGTCTATAGGGCCTTACAGGGACAAGCACCATCTTACATTGGTGATCTTCTTAGTCCCTACACCCCCAGCAGGTCCCTGAGGTCCAGTGACCAAAGCCTACTGGTTGTGCAGCACCAGGCTAAAGGTAAAAGGTGAGATCATTTGCTGCTGTGGCCCCCAGACCGTGGACCTCTCTCCCCCTGAACCTGAGATCAGTGGACTCAGTGGTCTCCTTTAAAAAGCAGCTGAAGACTCACTTGTTCAAGCTGGCTTTTGTATGACCTTCTTCACCCCTCTCTCTTTATTCTGCTCTCCCCACCTATTCCACCATCCTCAGGATCCACTGATTTCTCTCTTTCCTGTTCACTCTCTCTCTTTCTTAACATTTTTTAAATCACAATTGTCTCTTTTTGCTAATTTTAAATATATTTTAAAACATTTTCTAAATGCTTTTTTATATTTTTTGTTTGTGTGAAGCGCCTTGTGATTTTTATCTTGAGAGGCGCTATAGAAACGATGTTTTCTTCTTCCTCATCAGCTTTTGAATGTTTCTGATGCTCCTTCTGCAGCATCAGATCAAAAAGGTGGCGCTCAACCTTTAACTTTGTCTATTTGTATCTTACATCTAATTTTATTTGTGTGTTTAAATTAAATTTGAAAATCTGCTGTTTTATGTTGTCTCGTTGATTTTAATGTATTTGTTTGCACCAGGAAAGCACAAGCACTTCTGTGTAGGAATTTTGCTGCCTTGATTAGTGAAACAATTTCACAAATACAAGCGACAGGAGAGACTGGGAGAACAGGTTTACTGTCTTCAATGTGATTTAAGCACCAGAAGACCACAAAAAACCATCAGATGTCTCAAAGTTCAAAACTGAGTCAGTAAATGACACATAAATCATTGTGATTATGGATTAGGGTAAATAATACCACCAGTGAGTCCTGGCTCTTCCCAGGGTCAGAGGAATCCCAATCCAATTCCTGAACCACCTCAGCTGACTCTGATGAGGAGGAGGAGCAGCTCCACTCTGAGTGACTTAAACTGATCAGATACCAGTCAGGAAGACCATTTCATCCTGGATCTAGGATCAGGCTCTGTCTGGATCTAAATGTCATGAGCACCGATGAGGTGAAATCTCTATCCGTTTTTCCAAAATTTAAGTTTCTAGTAGAATCATTTCTAAACAGTCCGTTTAAATTTTTAACAGTGGAAGAAGTTTTAGCTTCATTAAACCAGAACACCCCCCTCCCCTCTCAGGCCCTGTCCACACGTAGCTGGGGATCTGCCAAAACGTAGATATTTTTCTACGTTTTGGCCTGTCATCCACACGAAAACGGAGTTTTTTTCACACGAAAACGGATCTTTTTAAAAACTCCGGCCAAAGTGAAGATCTGCGTTTTCTCCGTTTTGGGTGTCTGCGTGTGGACGGACAAAACCGGAGTTTTAAGGTCCGCAACGTCACTTTCCGCGACAAAAAACTGCTGACATCACGTGTGCGACCTGTGTTTACACTAGCCGACATCATGGAAGCCCTCAGAGCTGCGCGCTGTCACTACCCGATGCATCAATTGTCCAAGCGCTTTCTGCTTGTTTGTTTTTGCAAGCGGAATTACTGCTCCTTGCGGAAGACCACAGACGAAGGACGAGGTTAAGAACGGGGAAGTACTGCCGCCTACAGGTCTGGCATGTCCTTAACAACGTATTTATCAGGGTACGTGTGGACAGAGTTTCTTTTAAAAACGAGGTGGTGTGGATGCAAGTTTTTGGAGGGGCGGATATTCGTTTAAAAAAAAAAAAACGGCTACGTGTGGACTAGGCCTCAGGTTTCATCCTGAGAACACATCAGTCTCATAAAAATCCAGTTTTTCAGGCTCATATGTTACACAGATGTCTTCCTGATGACAGTCAGGAAAATCTCCCAAAAATAAAGAAATCCTGGAAAAGGTTGGAATGCAAGTAGAAAATAAAATGAAGATAAAGACACGAGGTCTTAAACTCCTCCTGAGGTCAGAAGGATACTCACTGTGGACGTCTGGCACGCTTCGTGCGTCAAAGTCAGGTGGTTCTGAGAGACAGGAGAGTCAGAGGAGCTCATCAAATGAACAGGAAGTTCCTAAAAGTCTCCAACAAATTATCAGTTTAACAGGATATCCAGTAATTGTGAAGTTTCCTCATCAAATCATAATTAAAGTCAAACAGTTTAGTGGCTGAAAACTTTTTCTGTAATTAAATGGAATTTTTGTGGAGGGAAATGAGGTTCTGTTGGTGCTGTTGGGTCTTCCCCGTCTGAGGTTTGAGGGCCCAACGGACCACAGCAGCCGGCGCTGAAGGTGTGTGTGTGTGTGTGTGTGTGTAGTCACGCATGTTGAATTTAATCCAGATGGTCACATGAGCCTCCACATGTGATGTGCTGCACCAAACCTTGCTGCTTGCATGCTTCTGAGCTAAACGCTGCAGATGTGCAGATTCTGCACGCTGCATTCCACACAACCAGATAAAAGTTCTGCTTCTTCCTCCCTGATCCTGATGCTGCTCTGCGGAGCCCGGCTCGGGCTGGATTCTTCAGTTCCAGGCCCAGAAACAGGAGACATGCAACTGAGTGATCACAAGGCCCGCTGGGCTCAGCCAGCCAGACAATTAGCTCTGCATTTCTGCCCCAAATCCTCAAGGCTGAGTCAGAGTAAGCAGTACCAGGAGAGCTGGCGGTGTCTTCAGGACTGGTGTCTGATCTCCAGCACCATGATCCCACCGCTGCAGAGCAGAAAGCTGCTGAAACTAAACCTAAGGCTGCTTGTTTCATTCGCCGGGTCAAGAAGCAGGAAGAGTTCTGCTAAACTCCTCAGAGTAAACACAAACAGCTCCGGTGAGCCCACTGGTCGGCGGAGGGCAGGAAGCCTGATGTGGGACAGCTGTGAGGAGACTGAGTGGGAAAAACAGGAAAGATGGAGAATAAATCCCTGTGACGGATCTGGCAGTTTGTGGAAGAATGAATGTGATCTGAGAGAAAGTTGGAAGCTTGATTAGAAAAAAAAAGAAACTAGAAACGAGAAAATCATCTAAAAATTGATTTTTTTATTTTTGTGACGAGACAGAACTTCTGATGACTAAATAAATAAGCGAGCAGTATTGTCCCTGCTAAGTTGTTTCTGCAGCCAGAGGCCTTGTTCGAGATGAGCAGCGTCTCGCCTGGAAAACGCAGCAGGGGGAGTGGCTGAAAGCCGGCGTTTAAGTCGGACAGATTTCCCTACATGTGTAGCTCGCGGGTGATGACGGATGAAGATATCGCGTTAGTTTATTTAAATTCTGGTGCCCGTTAGCAACCGAAACACATCCTCACGTGCTTGTGGATATATTATAATGCGTATGGAGACATGACTGTAATAATAAGTAAAGGTCAGTTTTGGGCAAGTTACTTCAAAACTGTAATGCATTATTTATTACTTGTTAGCCTCATTTTAAAGTAATTAATTACATTACAATATTACTGAATTTTAAAATTTAAGGGATTACACTACTTTTGCATTACTTTAAGTTACTTTCACCAAAACAACTTCAATATGAATCTGGTCATGTGACGCTCAGTGAGCTCATGACATATATGTGAAAGGTGATGTGGTGTCTGAGCTAGGATTGCTGTTATAAACAGTCAGATATAATAACAGTGCTTTAAAATGATTGTTTATTAAATAAAAGCAACAACATTCTGTACTCTCAGCATGCTGCCATCTTATATTAACTGAGCAGGGAGTGGGGTGATGGGGGCTCCAAGCCTATATTTGCCTTGGTCGCCAAATGCCTTGATACGGCCCTGGATGTGGGACTGACTTCTGGGGTGATCTGATTCTATCACATGTATAAATATTAAATGCTTATAGATTATTGCTTTTCACTGGTAAAATGTGTATTGGGGATAAATCTACCTACTTTTTTTTCTTTTCAAGCACTTTGTTTTGTTTTCTTGATTTTATTTGAATAACTTCCGGCTCTTTCTCTCTCTAACCTTCCTGCATGCTGCATGTTTTCTCCGTCTTCCAGAAAAACTGTTTCCTAGATTTCCTACTTTCTAACTAATCAGCCAAAGGGATCTACCGAACGCAAAAACAATAAATAAAAAAAGCTTAATATGCGCTGCGCTCCAGCAGCAATGAGTCGAAATCACCGGCGCACAGATTATAAACTCAGCTGAAAAGTACATGAAGTACCAGAGAATATGGGCTGATATAAACGATCGCAAATGAATTACTTTGTTTTGATGGAGCGGTTTTGTGAATATAACAGCGGCCGCGCGCAGGACGCAGCTGGAGTATTTGAGCCATTACCGCTGCGTCCTCTCTGCTCATAGAATGCCCGCAAAGCTGAGTCCATAAATGACGTAATGTGGATACTGGATCTTTTTTCAGGCTTCCCGCAAACTGAATTTTTAAGAAACCCACATCTTGATTCTGGGTTTAAAAAAGCATTGTAATTACCGCGTTACTGACAATTGTACCGAGTAAATATTACCATTTTCTTTCCCTGTAATGCCTTACATTACCACATTACAGCAAAAAGCAATGCATTACAGTAGTTAATTACTTTTGTACCACGTTACTCCCAACACTGGTAAAGGTTATCAACTGTACCTTTAGTGTGCTCATAGGAAACGTGACAAATAACACATAACACATTTCTCTTTATGGCCTACATAGTTGTCATCATCAACGTAACATGATTTACTGAATACATGTGACCAACTAACATTTCATGTTCTACCACCAGATGTTTGGATCAAAATGTGAACCAATCAGATCTTAGATCAGGTGAGAGCCAGGTGTTTCCCGTCATCCTCTAGGTTTTGCAGCCAGTGGAGAGCAACTGCAGCGCCTTGCTCCAAAATCTGCGGCCGCCTTGATCTCACAAGGTTGTCGTTGCCTACGTATGCATGACGTCAGAGCAAGTCGGACACGAATCTAACCGGCATGCACTGCTCGCCGATCACCGGTGATCTAATCTGCGCAGAACTGGCTCATCTCAAACACGGTCAGAGTCTGCAGGATGAGTCTAAAAGCCCCGCCCCCTTACCTGTACACAGGTGTTCTAAGCATCAAATGGCTGATTACAGCTTAAAATGTCAGAAACAAAGAAGTACCACCTTCTTGATCTGATTTGAAGTTTTCATTCACTGAATCTGGAAGACGACCCGGCTCACACACGACCGACATGATGAGATAATGGGAGGTGTGTGTGTGTGTGTGTGTGTGTGTGTTTTGCATGCAGCTCCAGTGCAGCTGCTGAATCTGACTGAAGCTTGTCATAAATGGAGGATTTCTCCCACTGAGCTCCTGCAGACTTCCCCAACTTCTATCTGAGCTCTCAGACTCTGACAGACTTAACCTTTGACCCCTCCTCTGGGCTTGACGAGGAACACAGAAGTGGGGATTGTGCCATTAACAAGTCATGTCCATGCCGTGTTTTTGCTCTGCTCAGCGACTGAACAGGTTCGTTCACTGTGCTGATTGAAATCACCTGGCTGAAGAAAAACACGGTGTGGAGATGACTTGTTAATGCCACAGTTCCCATCTCTGGAAATGTTTAATTTATTTAAAGTATTAAAACATATTTTTGTATTTGTGTCTCAGCTTTGTGTTTGACTCCTGACCTCTGAGCAGTCTGAGGACTTCATGGTCCCTCACAGATTGTGACATCACCATTTCCAGTCAGAACTCCCACTAGAACCCAGCCAGTGGACCACTAACCTCCAAGATCACTCTGAGAGCAGCTGTGTTCTCCACTCAGCCTCTTGAACAGCGATCGCATCACCTTGGCGCTGCCAAAGCGCTTGAAACGAGCACGCACGTTCTCATGGTACCACTCCAAAGTACCGATCCTGAGGACCCTGTGAGAGGAACAGGAACTGGTTCATCACAGATGATCTGATGTTTTTTTATAATAAAGGAGAGAAATAAGAGCTTGCATGTTGCTGTTTTTATACTCATTCAAGGTTTCAGCAGCAGAGAAACAAGTGAGAGTCAGAAGACCGCAGAGACCAAATCAGGACCAACACAAACACTTTCACGTCTTCCACCCTGGTGCCCCTCAGGAGAAATAAAGACTTTTACTCTAAACGTCCGGAGATTGCTCAGTCTGCAGCTGTTGTGCTGGGATTTTCTTTCCTTATCTGACCGAGATGTTTAGTTTTCCTAATTTGCTCATTTCCTACCTAGCCATGTGGCACGGGTCACACACCCAGCCATGCTCCTTCCTGCTGTAGTGGCTGCAGGACCTGCACACATGAAACCGGCAGTCCAAACACTGACGCTTGGCGTTGACTAGGAACTTGAAGGGCTGAAGACAGCGGATGCAGTAGGAGTCTGTCAGGCTGCTCTGAGTCCCCAGCAACTCTCTCTTGGTGTCCTCCTTCTGGATTTTACTCTTCAGCTCTCTGGAAACAAACACAAACTTAGCAGCTGAGCAGAATCATCCCTGTTGCGTGTCATATGCATGCAGTCACTGCATTTTTCTTGACAACTTTTTGTCTTTTTTTACATTCCCCTCCTTCTGTGTTCAAGCACTTTGATCAGCTCACATGCTGTTTTACACTTATTAATGAATGTGGCATGCAGAAAGTGGTTGCATCTAGAATATTTTTATATCCTGCATGTGATGGGACAGACAGATCTTGTCTGGTCCCATCCCAGTACAGAGCCAGATTAACCCAGGGTGACGTTGTTGCAATCTTTATCCTTAATTTATTTATATCGCCAACTCATTTTGCCACATGCAGGTTAGCAATGATCTGAGGGAAAGAAGGTTTTATTCTGTGCATTTTAATAAGTGACAAGTCAAAAATGTTTTCTTATTTCTGAAGTAAAACTCCAGATCCTCCGGTTCACCACAACAATCCCTAACAGAGAAATGTGTTTGTGGCTGTAGAGGTGTCCGTGCTGGAACAGCTGATTGCCCTAGTATCTAGTATTTATGCTAGGCTACGCTAACCGTATCAGACACAGCTCACATCCTGGATTAAACAAGAAGAAGAAGAAGAAGAAGAAAATATCATTTCTATAGCGCCTCTCAAGATAAAAATCACGAGGCGCTTCACAAAAACAAAAGATGTAAAAATATAAAAAAGAATTTAGAAAATGTTTAAAAATATATTAAAATGAGCAAAAATAGGCAATTGTGATTAAAAATGTTAAGAAAGAGAGAGAGTGAACAGGAAAGAGGGAAATCAGTGGATCCTGAGGAAGGTGGAATAGGTGGGGAGAGCAGAATAAAGAGAGAGTGGTGAAGAAGGTCATACAAAAGCCAGCTTGAACAAGTGAGTCTTCAGCTGCTTTTTAAAGGAGACTACTGAGTCCACTGATCTCAGGCTCAGGGGGAGAGAGGTCCAGAGTCTGGGGGCCACAGCAGCAAATGATCTGTCACCTTTGACCTTTAGCCTGGTGCTGCACAACCAGTAGGCTTTGGTCACTGGACCTCAGGGACCTGCTGGGGGTGTAGGGACTAAGAAGACCACCAATGTAAGATGGTGCTTGTCCATGTAAGGCCCTATAGACCAGAACCAGGATCTTGAAATGAACCCTGAAGTTGACTGGCAGCCAGTGAAGCTGGAGGAGAAGCGGGGTGATGTGGGTGTGTTTGGAGGACTTGGTCAGAAGCCGAGCACAGGCGTTCTGAACCACCTGTAGACGGTTCAGGGAGGTTCTGCTCAGACATGTGAAAAGAGAGTTACAGTAGTCTAAGCGTGAGGAGATGAAGGTGTGGAGAACTGTCTCAAGTTCAGAGCGGGACAGAATGGGACTTAGCTTAGCAATGTTCCTGAAATGGAAGAAGGAAGAGTGAACAAGAGAACTGACATGAGAATCCAGGGTGAGAGCTGGGTCAAAGGTCACGCCAAGATTCCTGACAGAAGGTTTGGTGTGAGAAGCAAGCTGACCAAGAGAGTCTCTGACTTTGGGAACCAGCTTGTCTGGGGCACAGATGAGGATCTCAGTCTTAAGCTGGGCGTACACTGTGCGTCGTGTAGTGTACAGGGGGTTACGAGAGGCGATTAACACCACGTGACCATGTACCGATCAGCAATCAAGAGCTCGCACGGACTTCTGCCGTGTTTAATATTTTGCTCGTCCCTCGTGAGGGTATCGCACTGTTGAAGCGGCGCTGCGAGCAGCTGCGACCCAAAATGTATCAGAACCGCTCACGGCGCATGCGCAATCCTGCATCAACACCGCTCCCCGCTATTTCCTTAATAACACACGTTGTTTGTTTTAATTTCTAAACGTTTTTTTACTCACAAAGATTGTCAAGAAAGCGTGTTTGTCGTTCCACAACCTTTTCCAAGATCTTGGAGATGAACGGAAGTTTAGAGATGGGTCTGAAGCTGCTATGGAGAGAGGGGTCGAGACTCGATTTTTTAAGAAGCGGGTGGATTACAGCGTTCTTAAAGTAAGCAGGGACCTGACCAGAGACCAGAGAAGCATTAATTATAGAGAGCACGCTGGGACCGATGGACTGAAAAGCACTTTCAAACAAAGATGAGGGTAAGATGTGGAGGGGGCATGCAGAGGTCTTCATAGAGTTAACTAGTTTGTTTAACTCAGGCAAAGAAACAGGAGCAAAGCTATCTAGGATGATGGGCCTGGTTGGAGTCGGGAGAGGCGGCGATAAGGCTGAAGGAGAGATGCTAGATCTAACCTTACTGACTTTGTCCACAAAGAAAGACAGAAAGTTCTCACAGTCTGTAACAGAGTGGATGGAGGCTGTAGGAGAGGCAGGAGAGACGATGCTGTTGATGGTGTTAAACAGCACCTTGGGGTTCCCTCTGTTCTGGGGGACCCGGTTGGAGAAATAGGAAACCCTGGCGTCTCTGACTGCAGAGTTAAAGGATGTCAGAAGATCCTTTAGGTGCAGCAGATGGACGTGGAGATGGGTTTTCTTCCACAAACGCTCAATTTTTCTGCATTGATGCTTCAGGCTGCGAAGGCTGTCATTAAACCAGGGAGTAGGGTTCACTGCAGGAACTGATCTGGTTCTGACAGGACAGATGTTGTCCAGAAAGGAGAGGCAGTGCTTGTTAAACTGAGAAGTTAAGGAATCTGGGTCATTATCAGAAGAACAGGGTGGATAAAAGCAGCAGAAAAATTGCTAGCTGTGCTCTCATTAAGAAAACGAGAACTAACCATACGGCGAGCAGGAGGTGGGGACGCAGAAACTGACACGTTAAAGAAAATGCAATGGTGATCTGAAATATAAACGTCCTCAGGACAAACACTGTCAGCATTTAGACTCAGGGTAAAAACAAGGTCTAGAGTCTGCCCCCTGGTGTGTGTAGGGCCAGAAACATGCTGGGTAAAGCTGAAGGAGTCCATAAGGCTGGAGAAATTCATGGCAAAGAGATCGGAGGGATCATCAACATGGATGTTAAAGTCACCAACAATCACCAGTCTGGACAGCTTCACAGTGGAGGGGGGCGCTATAGTTACCCCTGGATTAGTCATTGCACCCCCAAGTAAATATTATATATATTTTTACAATTTAATTTTAATTTAATGCATGGATGTGATCATATTTAACATACAAAACAAAAATAATCAGTAAATTATCATATAGATAGTGTCACACCCTGTCCTGTCTCCCCATTTGGTTCAGCCTGTGTCCCTGTTGATTGCTCCCGCCTGCCTTTTGTTTCCCAATCACCCAAGCACCCAGCCCTCCTGTATTTAAACCCCTCCAGTTCTTTGTCTCTTGTTGCCTCATTGTTTCCACGTCCTGCATGCATGCATTAAAACCCTTGAAGTTGTCCGGTTTGTCTGCCTGCCTGCTTCCTCCCCTGCATTTGGATCCTCACCTCTGCTCCACTCACCAGCACATCCTGACAGATAGTAAAAACTTAAACCAAAACAGGAAATTGATGTTAACCTTTGACCTCATTTTCCACCTGTGAACGAGTGAAAGGTAGAGTTAGCGGTAAGATGGAACGGTGTTTGTTGCCCACATTTCCACGGGTTCAGTCAGAAACGAATGAATCTTTGGAAGTGATCTCAGACCCACAAAAACCTACGGATCTGGATGAAGAGAGTCAACCCTCAACCGCTGCAGCAGTCCAGGGTTTTGCCGCTGGAAATGCTAACACTAACGTTAGCTAACCTTGCTACACTATAGATGGTTTTCTGTGTGGCTGTATGTGTTTATGATTTCATGGAAAAGTCAGCGATTGTTCATATGTTTATGATGTATATTAATGATTGTTTCAGGTGTTGTTGAGGTGTTGTGCACACATGTGTATCTGCTAGTGTTGAAGGTGTTTTAGAGAACAATAGGTACGTATGACCACTTCCTTCATAACACCCTCAATAAAAAGACTAGCTCCTTCATAGCACCTGCAGAAAAAAAGAAGCGCATCACCTGTTTTGTTCTCCGGTGATTTCACCTCACCGGTGCGGCCAGCACGCAGCGTGCACTCCACTATTTTTGTGGTCGGTAGATCTTTTAGAACTGCAGTTCAAAGGTAACTCATGAGGTGAAAAATATGAACCCAGGTAGCAGTTTTTCTTTAGGATTGAGAGGAGATGCAGGAAGATAATAAACGGAGACGGAACGAAAAATAGTCAAATAAAAACAAGTTAGTTTTTGTACCTGGTGGTTGCACAAACAGACACCATTGAAGGTAATCAGAATTGAGGAACAGAAAATGAAAAGTATTTTAATGTTTAGAGCAGCAGAAGAACACCAGTTTGTGGCCGTTGTGCAAGGAGAGGAGGGCTGAAGCAGGGGATCAGTAATGATGCATTGTTGAAAGAAATGTGTGCCAACTTAAAAATGTGGGCACAATTTTTAATTGTCCAGACCAGGCTTCTGGTATTAGAGGAAGTGTTGGTGTTTTGTTCTGTAACACACCACGACCGACTCAGTATTCATTATTGTTTTGTGATTATTTCACTTACATGCTGCTCCTTTAAAGAGGCGGAGACTTTACACGTGAGATCTCGTTGTTTCTCCCACAGCTGTTACACGGTTTCTTATAAATGATTTAGCAGCTTTTACTTCAACTGTTTTATTCAGAAAACTTTAAAGGAAATTTGTGATGATTGTTGGAAACGTAACATCCCTCCTCAGCGCTCCGGGATGCTGACTAGTGGAGAGAAAAACTCGGATAACAAGTCCCAAATGTCAGAGTGAGGGTGGAGTCTGGACAGGAAAAAGAAAAACCTTTAAAACTCCTGCAAGGATGAGAGGCTTGCTATTGTTTATTAAGGCCTTTTTAGGAGCCTTTTGAATCACAGCCCAGATCTCTGGGATAAACGGGATCCATTCCAGTTTTCCTTAACCTTTTGCAGATGCAGCTGCTGGCCATTAGCAGCTCGCTTTAGAAACAAAATGATTTAAAAGTCATCAGTTAAAAATCTGTCCTTCTTTGAAGGATAAAAGCCCAGAAATCTGCTCCCGCAGGATTCCCTCTCAGAGCTCCGGCTGCCTTGGAGTGCTGCAGGGAATGCTTTGCTCCTCCAAACTGATATGAAATTCAAATATGGAGATGAATCCAATCACTGCTGCCATCTGTAAGGGCTTGTCACATCTCTCCATCTGCTTCTCAACGAGGAAAATCAACCAAGTTTATATGAATTACACAGATTTATTTTCTTTCATTTGTTTAAATGTGTTCTTTGATTTTTGTGATTCTGGCTGTTTGTGAAGATCGAAACAATCTGGATTCAGTTCTTCTGTCAGCTCCTGGCATAGAAAACGGCCTCCTGGAAGCCTCAGCTGCAGATCCAGCTCGTTGGGATGTCCTCTGTCCCTTGGCAGTAGAATCAGCTCGCTGGGACGTCTTCTCCATCTCTTTAGCAGCGTCTGATCAGATGTTCACTTTGGTCTCTGATTGTTCCTCACAAGGTTCTGCTGCAGACATCCATCTCTGATTTCTGAACTTCAGCTGCTGCTAGAGTTAAAATCCTGATGTCATGATCAGGAAGGAGGAGGTGGAAACCAAATTGCAGAACCAAGAATGACTCAAGGCAGGAGAAGTCTTCAGCAAAAATAATCTTTTATTTTAAAGGAGGTGCCAAATCCAAAAATGCAAGAATAAGAATAAATCTCCAAAACACACTGAACGCTCAAAAAACAAAACAGAAGCTCACTGAGCACGGACTAGGAGAAACAGGAGAGAGACAGAACAACACTGACACATGCAATGATTCAACGACACTGAAAGACACAGACAGGACACAGGGTTATATACACAGAGAGAAACAATCAGGGAGACAGGTGACAGGTGTGAGTAGTGAGATCTGGAGGGAAGGCAGGTGCATACAATAATCTAGTTGAGGGGGAAAGAAACAAGCAGGATGACAGACAAACCTTAACCTATAACACAAGGATAAAACTAAACCTAAAGACTGAGGGCCAAAAATAAACAAATAACTAGACGGATGAGGAGGACTAAAATAAGATTGACTAGGAATGGAGAATGATTAGAAAGACACCTGAGGGACGTCTACAGAGGGCTGGGGATAATAATGGGGCACAAGAGGAGAACCTGAAGTGGGAACTGGAGGGGCTGGGGAACAAAGGGGCACAGAACATGACACCTGAGGGCTGAAACATGACACGTACTCACAGAATCGGAGAATTATTACTAAAATCTACATCTGTTTGTGGATTTGAAAGAATATTGTTCCAACAGGTTGTTGTGATAAGAAAACAAAATGTTTTCTATGATCTTGTTCTGACTGTAAGATAAGATGTTTTGTTTGTTCTTTAACTTCCTTTTTATTAAAACATCCTTCTTCTGTCATGTTGTGTCCCTTTGTTCCCCAGCCCCTCCAGTTCCCACTCCAGGTTTTCCTCTTGTGTCCCATTATTCTCCTCAGCCCTCACCCCTCTAGTTATTGGTTGTTTATATTTGCCCTCAGTCCCTAAGTTTAGTTATCCGTGTTTAATAGTTTTAGGTTTATCTGCCCTCCTCTGGTTTTGTTCCCCATTTGGATAATTGTATGCACCTGCTTTCCCTCCAGCCTTCACACACCTGCTGCCTGTTTCCCTAATTGCTCCTCTCTGTGTATATAAGCCATGTCTTGTCCTTCAGTGTTTGTTGGACCATTGTACATGTCTGAGCTGTTCTGTGTCCTCCCATGTTTATTGCCTGAGTCCTTGCTCCTGGTTTTGAACTTCTGTTTTTGTGTTTTATCTGCTGGATTAAGCCTCCACTTTAATAATAAAGGATTGACTTCTTTACCTCCGCTCCTGTCTGAGTGATCTGGTGTTCCGCATTTTGGGTTCGGACCTCCTGCCCGTCAGCGTGACATCTTCATTTAAAACATTTTTTAGAAATCATCGAATTGGATCTTTGAGGCGTTTATTACTAAATTATCTCATAACTGAGCATTCCCACTATTGATGATGTCTCAGAAAACAGTAATAACACTGTAGGAGGACCTCAGGGTTCTGTTTCTGGACCTTTACTTTTCAGTTGGACTTTCCTGATATTTGTCCTAATTTAACAAACAGAAAGCTGCTGAAGAACCATCCAGATCTTCCATAAATCATGCTCATGTCTTTAAAACGATCCTGAAAATCCAGCCACAGGTAGAAGAAAAAGTACTGGTGCTTCAGTAAAATAAAAACATAGGTGCAATCATAGATTTATGATTTACTTTTAGAAGAACAAAAACTGAGCTAAAAGCTGTTTCAGAACCACCGAAGCCTCCGAGATGTCCCTGAACCACATCATTGTCTCACGTAGGCGCTGCTGCCTGACCATACTTTACCATAATCTATGGTAATAAACATAAACAAGCTTGGAAAGTTAAAGCCTAACCCTGTAACGAGCAGCTCGAGCCTACGTTCATAAATCCTGCTCTAAAAATGTCTGATGGCTCTTTTATCCAGGATCTCATAATGTTATTAAATGTGTTTCTAACGGTTCGTCTGCAGAAAAAACAAAAGAATCAAACAAACTCAAACGTAAACCGCCGCCAAATGTTTCATCCTATTGTGCTCCAACATATTTGGCTTTGCAGCAGTGAAGTTTTTAACCGCATAAAGAGCTGAACCTATTTAAAGGTTTCACAAGCTTTGGATGAAAACAGCTGCTGGAGAAGCACAAAGCCTCATTTCAACACAAACCAAAGAGCTGAAGAAGAAGTTTGGCAAGAAATGCAATAATCAGAAACAAGGAGACGGTTGTGTTTGATTCTGGCTCCGTCCATCGGACCGATGACTATTTTAGGACAGAGAGACTGGAGACAAGTAGGACTTTCACCAACTCCAAAACAGGAAAACCTGCTTCTGGTTAGGGTTAGGGTTGGTAACCCTAACCCAGCTCTGCTGCCGGACGAGCTGCAGCTCAGGAGAAACAGACTCATCTGTGACAGGTTTCTAAGCACTGCTCACAGCTCCAGAATGTTCCGTCATCAAACATCAGGAGGAAACGGATTTGTTTGCTTCCTGTTTCTGATGTGATGAAGGAGAAACGTGTCTCCTGGGTTCTGCTTGTTCTGGTTAAACAGCAGAAGTACATCTGGAACACCGAGGAAACCACACAGAGAGAGAATCCAACCGGAGGATCTGATGATGAGTAGAAGCACCAAACGTCTGTGGAGGTTTCTGGAACTGGACCCAACACGATGCTTGGTTTCTGATCCACCTAATTCTCACTTCGTCTTTCTGGCCTGGTGCTCCATCTTGCTGGAGAAGACATAGGAGTGATGGGAGCGCTCACCTGTTCATCTCCAGATGATGTAGCAAGAAAGCAGAGAACATTCTTTTCCTACCTTCTTTAGTGGTCCAGTTCTGGGCCAGGACCTTCAGCAGACACCAGTCTGTCCCTGATGGTTTGAGATAAATGGCTTCTTTTCTGCCCTTTTTGACACTAGACCACTGATCATCTCCTCACCTGCTCTGGTGAAACTGAGATTCCACACCTGGATCATCTTGGTGGACTTCCCTGGATCTGTTGAATTCTTCCTCACAAAAGCAGTTGAATTGTTTTTTTAGATTATTAATCTGATGACTCAGAACATTCTGGACTTGATGCAAACTGAGGCAGAAACTCTAACCACGAGTTTTCTACACACGGAGAACCGTCGAGAATGTTTTCAGACGCCTCTCCTGTGTTTCCTGTTGTCTCGGTAACTCACCCCAGTCTGTCCTCCTCCTTCTTTCTCAGGTCAAAGTCTCTCTGGATGACGTCCCACACATGTTTGGCCTCCTCGTCCGTGAGTTTGGACAGATCCAGCTTGGTCCCTGCAGCTCCGAGCATCCTGAGACAAACAGGTGTAATCAAACTGGACCTTCTCCTTCTCTCATCTTTTGGGTTTTATGGACAGCTATTGTCATGGTTCTGCTTATTTTCTCTGCTGGCTCTTGTTCCTCCTAAGTGTTTTGCAGGTGGGCGTGTCGGAGAGTCGCAGCTGCAGCTGATTCCATCAGCAGGGCCAGGGGATCTAAGGAGCGGTGTTGCCACACTTCAGCGCCAGTTGATACTCTATCGTTGGGTACCTCTAGCCACGTCCTGTCCTGTCCTGTCCTGTCCTGTCCTGTCCTGTCCTGTCATTCTGAAGTTGTGTTTTAGACTTGTGCTCATTCTGCCTTCCTTGTCTGCCCCAGTACCTGTCCTGGATCCTCGCCCCGTTCTCTCCTGCCTGAAGTGTGTTGTCACCTCCAGCGTCGCTCAGCTCCCCTGGCCGTCCGCTCTCTACCGCTCACCTGTACTGAATCATCTGCAACCACCAGCTACTCTTCACTACCGGACATTCCCCTTCATTCCATACTCCACCTCAGTACCGTAAGACTACTCCAGCTTCATCATATAGTTTATTTTTCCTGGTTCTCAGTTTCCTGTGTTCACCCCGTTTATTCTTCTGTTCTTTTTAGAATCCAAGTCCACCCTGTCCTGTTTGGATCAGCGCCCTTAGTTGACCTTAGGTTCCTTTTTAAATAAGCATTTTGTATTTTTTTCTTACCCTGATCTCCGCGTGTGATTCTTTCATGCGGGTAAAGAAACTTCCACCCACCACGAAAGCTGTGGACATTGTTAATCTGTTGAAGTCGAGTCACTTCCTGTTTAAGCTTAACTTAACAGCAAAAATGTGACTGATAATGTGTAACTTCAGAGCAGCTCTTAGTCGGTTTACTGTAAGAATCATTTATTAATTCCTGTTTTATCTCCAGATTTCCCACCTCGGCCACACCTGTAACGTGTTGCACTGGGAGGTTCCTGCAGTACAAACTAAATATTAACGCTGCCTCATGAAATAATCTCTATTCTCCAATTTGGATGTAATGTTTTATTCAGAGTTTAATAAATAATTTTTGTATTTTCATCACAGCAAATCAGATGACAGTGATAATGACATCCGTCCTGGAGCCATGCGGGGACTTGGACCGCACTGGCCCACTTCTGATTGGATCTGTGATGTCAGAGGGTTTGGCACAGCTCGACCATCACATGGAGGATTCAGTTAAACGTCAACACAAATGTTTCATGTGATCCAGCTTCCTGTGCCTGAAACATGAGGTAATACCTCTCAGGACGAGCAGAGGAATGATCAGGCTCATCACTTAATGGTTCTGTTTTCCACACGAGTAAAAACAACCCGGAAGAGTCCAATTATTCTGTTTCCTAGCCTCATTTTTGCTTCTGCAGCCGAGCTTTTAAGCTAAAAACAACCCGAAGTGTGAGGAAACACACACACACGTGCAGGTGTGTGCAGGTGTGTTTAGAGGGTGTGAGCTGCTCTGTCTGAGCTGGAGAACAAACAAAACACCCAAGAAGACTCTTCATTTATGAATTCATTATAAAATCTTGCTTTAGTTAATAAAATTCATATTTTAAACTCAGCTTCACTGCTAATAAAAGCATTTTTACGTCTTTGGCTGGACCTGATCAGGTGCAGACTCCCAGCTGAAGATTTCAGATCAAATCAAACACAGAAGGTAGCAGCGAATCGATTCTTACCTTCAGGCTGGAGGCGCTTTCTCCTCTGAAGCAGAGCAGAATGGCTGCAGGATCAGCAGCAGACGGCACAGCTAATCACATGTCTAGTTAACCAGGAGAAGAAAGCCTGCCTCCTCCCCTCCCTCCCCCTCCTCCTAGCATCAAAAGGTCAGTCCACCTGACCTCGTCCGCAAGACGGATGCAACGTCCTGAAGCTGTCATGTCAGAAACATCAAAACAAGTCCAGAAGGTCACAGAGATCTTAAAACCATAAAGATTAAATGTTAACAAACTCCCAAAACATCATCTGGGTTTGCCTCTTCTTCAAATAAAAAACCACAAAACAAAATATACACGATACTCAGACCCCCCCCCCCCCCCCCCCCCCCCAAAAAAAAACACCTGACCGCTGCACCAGAACCATCTGATCTATGTTCTAGTGGGATCAACCGGGCACTTTAATTTAATCCAGCATCCATCTGATTCTCCAAACTCGGCTCAAACAGGTGTAAAAATACGTCCAAACGCCAACAAACTGTTAACAAGCATCCAGCTGCTTACTGGTCTGTTTGTGCAGATTAATAATCCATCCTGGTTTCCACCCAACGCAAACAACCTGGAGCCAGTACCCGACGGACCGGGTCACATGCACGATCACAGCTCACGACCCTAACCTGAGACGGAAACATGGACCAGAACAAATGTTTAGTAACAATTCATAGTTCTGGATCAATGAGGGAAAAAACGAGGATCTAAACCCAGGTGGTAGACCGAGCCGAGACACAGCCAGGTACCTCACCAAACTGAGGCGACCTCCAGGGGAGCAGGGCCATCAGGAACCGACAGGTGAGGAGTGACTGAACAGGAGAACAAACACACAGAGGGGAGAGGTGAGAGACAAGGAACAGGTGTGATGAAACGGATCAGGTGTGTCTGGTTAACAGGAAGCTGAGGGGAACGCCGACGCTGGGAGAAAACCAAACCGAGCAGAACGAGGCTGCAGACTAAACAACCACACTGGGATCAACATGACAGGAAGAAAGACACAGGTACACAGACCCGGACACTGGGAGAGCATCCGCTGGGAGACAAGAACTTAAGAGGGGTCAAAGGTCGTGGACACACAGGGAGGAACGTCAAACTATTACACAGGACACGACACACACTGGGGAGTAACTAAGAAATAACCGATACTCCTACATGGGACTGGGCACACGGAACAGGACTGGTTTTTATTTGTTAATTTGTTTGTTTTTTCAACCGCCTCATCCAGGCTCTCAGGCACAGGCTGTCAGGCTCCAGCAGTCACCGAGAGAGAAGCAGGAGACTCCTCTGGACAGGTATTCAGTCCATCACAGGGATCCAGCACTGGTGTCCACTCCTGCTTCCAGCTGATGTTGTTGCTCTGCTCACACTCACCTGTTCACGAGCCGGTTAATCACCTCAGCCGTTCGGTTTGGTTGTAAAAGTTGGAAAAGTGGTTAAAAGTGAACATTTCTGCAGCTTTTATTTAGCGTCACCTCTTTGTTTCTGACAGCCTGAGATAAACATCAGAGTGACTCCACCGTGACCCGCCCACGCAGCGTTCCTTCTCTCCAGATGTTCATGTGTGACTCCTGGTGAGGTACTGAACCAGGTGTTGGTCTGTGCGACCCATCAGGATCGGAGGTTCATAAGCGCAGCAAACGTGCTTCTCATCTTTAACAAATGTTATTTCTGAGTTATTACCCGGTTCTTGAATCTGATGTCAGAGAGAAGAAAGGCTTTGGGCCTGGGGGGGGGGGGGGGGGTGGTCCGTTGGATTCAGAGCTTTGTTCTGAGTTCTAGTGGGTTCTTCAGCTCCAGCAGCTTTATGGGAATCCCCTGTTTTAAAGCTCTGGCAGCTTCAGGAAGGAAAGTCTCCTCCCCTCAGCTGGCCGGGCACCTCTGGTCCCAGATGAAGTTCTGATGTGAAACTTTGTTTGGACCAGCTGACGGGCCTACAAATAGAACTTCTTATGTGGGACTCAGACGTTTGGCGTTGCTGTGTTTAGCTGTTGAGTGTTGATGACATCACCATATAAAATCAGAGCTCATGAAGGTTGGTTAATGATCTCCAGACTCAGGATCCAAAAACACTGGCGGGTTAAGAGAACACCGTGTTCTGACCCGCCTACCTGGTGTTCTGACCCGCTTTAACAATCTGAATGGTGATTAAAACACAAACTGCTGGCGGATCAGAACCAATCAGCTTGTGTAGCTCCTGATAATCTGACTTAAGGATTAGATCATCTAGAATAAAAATGAAGCTTGGACGTTTTAAACATGGCGTCTGGAACATTTCCATTGGTTGTTGATAGCATTAAGCCCGCCCCCCAGTGGGCCTTTCCTGGTGTGATAGCCCAGCTGAAGTGAAACCACAGTGTTGCCGTATGTCTGGTTATTAAAACGTGCTTTTATCAGAACCCTGGTCCAATCCTTCAGATCGGATCAGGACATCCTTAGCACTCCTGTTACTTTAGTAAAGTGGTCTAGAATGAGCCGAACAGGTTTCCACGAGAACCTGATGGAGGACCAATGGAATCTGATCCATGGTTGCTTAGTAAAACTGTTCACAGTTAATCCAGGTAAGAAGCCAAAGTTCTACCAGTGAGATCCTGTTTCCCGACCCTCAGGCTTCGGTCCAAACACCGGCTCAAAGTGGCGGTTAATTACAGACCAACCAGAACTCCGGATTCTTCAGGCCCGAGTTCTCAGGGCCCCCCTGCAGCACCTACAGCAGCACAGCCTAAAGCCTCGGATGTTTGCTGGATGTGCTCTGCAGCGCTGCAGCAGCATCACAACAGTCCAGAAGCTCTTTGTGCTGCTGCTGCTCTATCCCTACAACCTTTCACTTTGACCGAATCTACCTTCGTTTAGCTCGTGTCATGTGACAGGGTTGCATAATGTCAGACTTGTCGTCGCTCGTGTCTTGTTAACCCGTTTCCTGCCTCGCTGATGTGAAACAGTTAGCGCTGCACAGAGAAGAAAGAGCAGAACTGTGAGCCTGAAGGATGAAAGATTATTTGCAGATGTCAAACATGCAGACTCATTTATCCGAATCATGGAAATTATAACTTGTCAAGGTAAACACCAGTTGTGTGTGGAGGAGGAAAGGCGACTGTTCGATGAGTCATCTTTAACTGCTAACAGCTTTCTGAGGACATCAGAAGACTTCAGGGACAGTCGGGATAGTTTTGGGTTCTAAATTTAGTTTTCCAAATTTTATTGATCTAGTTATATTTAGTTTAATTAAGAAAACTCTTTTGGTGAAGCTTCTGTTTATTTTTCACGGTGTGACTTCTTGTTTTATTTAGAAAATCTGGCTCCTTTTTTAATTTGAATGTTTCACTTTTTCCTTCTGTAAATGGAGTCAAACTGAACTGGACCGGTAGAAGAGCGAGACCACGATGCTCCGCGGCAACAGCAGCACAAAGCATGCTAACGCTAACGCCAGAAGCTCATATCTAACACAAATTCATTCTGTCTTAGCTGTACGCCGGAGCCTGAGTATGTGACTCGTTGTCTAATCCAATTAAAGAGGAAAACAACAAAAGTGAGAACTCAACTTGATCTTTTGCACTTTTGACAACAGAAATGTGACTCAGATGTGCGAACAAGGTTAACTGGTAAAATATTAACATTAACTAACACAGGACCTTTAAAATAAACGGATAATGCAATCTGCAATGTTGTTTTGAATTAACTTTTAATCTGAGACAATTTAATCTCTGCTTACCTGAACAATTAATCCACTTTGATTTGAATCAAATTTTCTTAATGTTATTATTTTAAATAATTTCTGTGTATAAAAGGTTGAATTAGAGTTTTGTTGTTTATATTTTAATTAAGAAAATATTCTATTTGTTTACATGGAGGGACGGGGCCTAGGCCAAGTACTGGAACCAGCCAGCAGGGGGAGTTCCTCTGACTAGTATTTGTTTACGAGTGGATGGTTTTCCTGTTTTTCGGCTTCAGGAACTCATTTGTATCATTTGGACAAACTTTGAGCTAGTTTTATTTGGGACTCTTCATTCTTATTAATAAAATACATTTTGTCTTTATGACCCGCTCTCCTCCCGCCTGATTCTTGCCTTTGGTTTCTTTTCCTTCAGCCTTAAACTGCAACATTTTTCCATCTCAGTACTGTTATACAATGCATTTCTGTACAGAATATGTGAGCTTTTGTGGTGTTGCCATGGCTGCTGGCTTCTGCATTAATCGGTTTCAGCTGTCAGTTAAAGACACCCATTGAGACTTCAATGGTGAGCATTGTTCAGGCACATTGGTGAGTCAGAGAAGCAGCCAGGGTTGGGGTTGGGGGGTGGGGATGGGGGGCAGTGTTCTGTGTGGCTGAGCTTGGCAGTACCAGTGGGAGATGTGATGCACAAGAGGCAGTTAAACCTCGGAAAGAAATCCAGTTTCTGCCTCTTTTTGGGTGAAACGAGACACTTTTTACAGAGCAGATGTGCACAGAACGTTTCTACTGACCTCCTGCTGCACGTTCCCAAAGCTACTGATGTCCTGCTGCACGTTCCCAAAACTACAGACCTCCTGTTGCACATTCCCAAATCTACTGACCTCCAGTTGCGGAGAGGGGCAGAAACAGCAGCTCAGTCAAGAGTATTTGGGAGCGACTTTCCAAACCCAAACTGGGAATGGAAATATGTGTTCATCATGTGACTGAGCACAATTTCCCCAAAGTGGCTTATAAAAAGAAAAACTGTGGAAACATGTGAACACATTTTAATGAGAAATAAGAGTAATGATGTTGGGATGGAGATGACTCATGAATCCTCCTGAGACAGGACTTTATGTGCATAAAATCAGAGTGAAAGCGATCTGAGTCAGCTGTAGTTTAACCTCTGACCTTCTCTCCTGCATCGTTAAAATGGCTGTGATTAGCCGTAATGATGGAGGACGTTCAGCATCATAAAGACCTGTTATTTTCTCTCTTGTTGCAGCTTATTTAATTTCACACTCCTGACTTCTCTGAGTCTGAGTTTTAATGAAAACCTTTCTGATGACATCAGATTGTTTGGGTTGGCCTCCACTCAACCGCAGGCGGAAACAACACCCCGCTGCCTGATCTTTGATGTTATCATTCAAAGTCTGACAATATCTGTAAGAATGAT